GATGCCGATGCGCCCTTTTGTACGCGATATCATTCATCGCACGACAGTAACAGACTTCAAGCATGATCTTGTGCTCCGTCTGCAACGTTTCAAAGGCCTTACATGTATGTAATTCTCCGTGACGCTCTGCGTCACGTCCGAAACTAACCGCCGAGCCGAAGGTTCACGCTGCGGGCGGTCACGTGTTTCAGATCGTGTTCATCCGGCCGACGTGCTGCGGGCACGGACAGACCCGCTCTGGTGCAAGCGGTACATGGCCCACGGCGACCTGGACATGGACAAGGCATTCAACTTCATGATGGACTCGGTCAAGTTCCGCCACGCTATGGGCGTTAATGGTGAGCAATCTCAGCGACTGGTCTGGTGATGAAGTGTGGGGTCTGTCTCGCGAGCCTCCTCCGCGGATCGAGAGGGTAGGTGCAGTCTTCGGTGAAGCAGTGATCCTCACGCTTGCTATTTGCATCGCCCGAGGCGTCACAAGACGATTGGTGGGACATCGCGGTTCTGACTGACGAAGACACATGCCCGTGCTGAGGGGCAGGTGGTGGTGGCAGTGAAGCTAAGTAGCCAATAGCTGGCATTGTCCGCCTGCGTGCCAGGACTAGGCAAACAGCGACTCACTTGGCTCGATTGTCTGTTGGGATCTTTGGCTGCACCTAGTCCTGCTGCATGTTGACATCATTGGCCGCTCCAAGTCCGCTGCATGCGGCCTCACAGCAGTCAACCGTGAACCGCAAGCAGCTCGCTGTCCGAACTTAAGCCCATTTCGAAGCTCATATTGCTCGCTAAACAGGGAGAGCTAGGTCCGGAGAGAAGCATAATAACGCCCCTGAAAATGCTACGATGCAGAAAAAATGTCCATTTGCATTCTGTGTACTTGGAAAGAGAAGGAAATACGTGATAATGATCCCACGTAGTGTACGTGGTCTTGAAGGGAATGTTCCACATTAGAAGATACCGAAACGAGCATCAGATAAAATGAAATAAGCCCACTTATAGCTGTAGGCATGCTTTGACATTGAAAAGACTGGCCTAGGCTGCACACTTTCTCTATTTAGTAAACATGCTTCTCAATACGTCATTGCACAATTGCGTCATCGTACATTGCACAGATCTGATTGAGAGCCAACTGACGGTCGTCATGTCTGGGAATCTGGAAATCTTACGAACGCCAGATATGTACGACTCGACAAGTATATTTTTCTTGCCATTGAGCGCCGCATGGCGAATGGAATGGCGAGATTTCAATGACGTTATCATGGCGTCACGGACGCCTGCCTGACCCTAAAATAGTCTACGCGAGATAGCCTGCACATCTTCGCGGACGTGTAGCTCACAAAGTAGAGGGCATAGATCGCAACACGCGCCCAGGTGGCCGGCTAGATACCCTTCGCTCGGGTGGGAGGGGGTCAATTGGACCCTCCGACATCTCGGGAACTAAGAAAGCTAGAGACACTAAATTTACAGGGTGTCTTGACCTGTATATGAACTCACTTAGGTCAAAGTTTGAGATTTCTAGGTCATGACCTTCAAGTCAAATAAGGTCAAACAAGGTCAAATTCCGGGCTGGTCTCCAAAGTGCCCCAGAATCTAGGCAACTGTTTCTAAGCAAAATATAACAAGCCTATTGCAGTTAAGTGACCTTGTTTGACCTTTTGAAGGTCATGGTGACCAAAATCATACCAGACTGCTCTGAGTTTTGTGTTTGAATAAGCGACAAAGAAAACGCTAGGCAGTATGTTCCTAGAACAAAATGTCGACCCGGGTCATCTTAGACCAATGACCTGTTCTGACCTCTAAGAAGTCAATGGAAGATGTATAATGCGGGTCCTGCTGTCAATAACTTCGAAATCAGCACCACAAACTATTTCATACAGCAAGCCCTAGAGTAATAAATCAGGCCAGTTTTGACCTTGATCTGACCTTCATACTTGACCTTAGGTCAACGTAATTTGCTCATTCAATATTTGTGGTGCCTAAGAAAGCATCTCAGAGATGTATGTCCTTCGTCAAACACTCCGTTGTTTTATCAGACTGAACGATTCCCTAGAAATTGCCTTCCTGAAACCATGGCCTGACTTTGACCTGCCATAGGTCAGCGACCTTACAAGGTACATTTGAATTTGTGTGTCAAACGATTCGCTATTTAATTGTCTACAGCTATGCAAAATTTGGCGCGGCTACGCCGCAACGTTCGGAAACCATTCTGGAAAAACCTTCGGGGGGGGGCAATTTGACCCCCGCCCGAGCGCGTGTTAAGAATGGCAGGGCTGTGAAGTACACCGAATGATCTTCAGATGGTTTTTCCGGTTCAAAACCTCCATACAAATGTGGAACACTTCCTTCAATTTTGTGTGGGAAGCTACTTACATCCGTTGTTTTGAATCGACACTATCTCCGAATGGGAGCTGATATTTTGCAGCAGTGTTTTGTCCTCCCAATATTCGCCTTGGCGTGCCAGTGCGCTTTTCCATAGTTTTCTATCACCGTTCTTCCTTAGTGATGTCCTTTGAATCGGCGCGAGCCGGGCCGACCGCGAAATGACCTTGGCCTGGTGACACCACGTGGTAGGCCCGTGAATCAACGAGACATGCATCAAGGTTGCTCAGTAGACAACACGCGGGTGTTCCGGAAGCCCCCACACTGTTGTCACAACCACCGCATTACTGTCGGCAGCAAAAACTGCGGAACTGTCGGTTGCTGTACTTAGTACGAACAAGAAAGCCTTTTAGTCCTGGTCCAGGTGTATGTCCAGTCGAATGGCTAAGGCAACCCAGCACTCCCACCTTCTGCAGACGTCACGAACGTGTGCATGGCCGCGATTGCGCGGGACGCTTCGTAACCTGGCCGGTTGTCCGACAGACATGACGCAAGACTCGGTGCTGCCGGAGTTCTTCGGGCGAGGCTCGCTAACCATCCACGGCCGGGACCGGGACGGCGCCAAGGTGATGATCTTCGACGCCAGCCTGCACGAGCGCACTTACGGCGAGCGCTTCGAGCGTGTCAAGCAGTTCCTCGTCTACTGGATCGAGAAGATGGAGAGGTGAGTTGATGGCGCCCTCTGGACATCTCGCGCCTGCATCATATGCTGTGAGCATTGCGAGGGCCGAGGAGATACGGGTATTGCGAGAGCCGGAGAGATAAGGGGCATTACGAGAACCGGAGAGATAAGGGGCTGGTACTTTCAGGCGATGAGATCGTCTCGCTGGAAGCTGACGTTTCGCAATCAATAAAGCACTGGTCAGCGTTCGTGTCGTAGACGCAGCTAAGGTGGTGGTGGGACCGTTCTTTTCTTTTAACGTTATGTGTGTCACCTGAGAGTAAGTTAAATTTCTCCGAGATAAACTCTCTGTCCCGGCTCCTGCAAAATTAATGGTCCCGTAATGACCCCCTAATGCCCCTTTGTGAAAAAAGTCCCTTGAAAATGAGATGAACTGAGCCCGGACCCGTTAAAAAATGGATAAAATTCTGGACGCATCCCTGGTTCACTACCTGGTGGAGGGGCTGCATGCTCATTGCGGATATTTGTGGGGTCACTGACCGCGACAGCCTGCACACACATGGTACCCGGCCGGTGCAGAGTATGGTAAAGGGATAGATATGTCAGTCTCTGCACTGCGAACCACCAGTTACGGCTTCGAGACGATGTTTGTACGAAGAGGGACCTGACTTCGAGCGGCTCACGTTCGTGAACAGTGGAAAGTGCGGCACCGGAGCGTGGCTTAGGAACCGCATCGCAAAGGATCCACATCCTGTTGCTGAGGGCGAGAGCCACTCAACTGCGATCGGGGCTTGGTGTTTCTGCCGCTCGCTGCTGTTCTGTTCTTTTGGAGGTGCTCATCCGTCGGGTATTTGTCAGCGGATTATCGTGGCTTGTTTAGGTACACAAGTTGCTAGAGCTGCCGTCATTCAAATCGAAGTCCACGAGCAGTACAACACAATTTACGTGCTGAAGAGATATTCAAGGTTTTGAAATTACGACCATCCAGTGATGCCGACGAGGTGTGTGTATGAACTGCATGATAATACCAAGCGTTTTAATTCGTGCTCTGCCAGTTCGACATGCCTTCCTTATTTTTTGTTGCAATTTTCATGCCGAGCGTCATAACTCCTAAAGTGACGCAAATTACACATGTTGTGACAAATTGCTAGTGGTCGAGATTCCTCCTAGCGCAAGGCCACTGGAATGATGCAAATGATGTAATATACAGACCTTGGCCTTGGTCAGACGGATACACCATTTGTCGTGAGTCTCGTGACACGGATTAACGGAGGAAGTCAGCTCGGGAAGCTACGTCGGTGACATTCCTTCGCGGGTGTCGGCGCGCTAAACGCGCCTGACCGTTTGCATTGCAACACGGAGTGGCCGCAAGCCGTCCCGAGGCAAGCCTTGGCTCGACAACTTGTTGGCCTTAGATTATTTTTTGTCTAAACCACTGCGCTGTAGACTAGTTGAGATGGACTAGTTGCGCTGTTCCAAGTCGACCTTCAAGATACGTTTGTTTTTAGCCTCTCTCCGACTTTAAATATGTTCGCTCACGCTTAATTTCTGAGCTACGTCTTCACTGCCTCGCGGCTCAGCGTTTCCCTGACTAGAATTACGGCCGTGGCTTAACATGCGCCCGGGTGCCCAGCTTCGCGCCCTTCGCTCGGGTGGGGTGGGAGGGGGTCAATTTGACCCCCTGAGATCCTGGGAACTAAGAAAGCTAGACACACCAAATTTACAGGGGATTTTGACCTGTACGTGACCTCACTTAAGTAAAAGTTTCAGATTTCTAGGTTATGACCTTCGGGTCAAAAAAGGTCAAACAAGGTGAAGTTCCAGGTTGGTCTCCAAAGTGCCCCAGAACCTAGATAACCGTTTCTAAGGAAAAGGTCACATTCTCATTCAGGGTCAGTGACCTTGTTTGACCTTTTCAAGGTCAAGTTGACCAAAATTGTACAAGATTGCTTTGAGTTTCGCATTTGACTAAGCGACAAAAATTACGCTAGGCAGTATGCCCCTAAAACAAAATGTTGACCTGGGTCATTTTAGGTGAATGACCTATTCTGACCTCTAAGAAGTCCATGATAGATGTGTGATGCGTTTTCTGTTATCAATAAACTCGAAATAAGCGCCAGAAACTATCCCATACTGCAAGCCCTAGAGTAACAAAACAGGCTGGTTTTGACCTTGGTGTGACCTTCATACCTGACCTTAGGTCAATGCAATTTGCTCGTTCAACTATTGTGTTGCCTAAGAAAGCATCTCAGAGATGTATGGCTTCGTCCAACACCCCGTTGTTGGATCAAATTGAAGGATTCCCTAGAAATTGCCTTCGCTGAAACTATGGCCTGAATTTGACCTGCCATAGGCCAGCGACCTTACAAGGTACGTATAAATGTGTGATACCAAACGATCCACTATTCAATTTTCTACAGATATGCAAAATTTGGCGTGGCTACGTCGCGCCGTTCGGAGACCATTCTGGAAAAACCTTCGGGAGGTCAATTTGACCCCACCCGAGCGCGTGTTAAATTAGGGTCATACGAGTGAAACCGCAAGCCGCAACACTTCCGCATTGCTTTTTACACTTCCGCCCACTGCAACGTCTGAGAGGCGACATGGGTGCACGCGCGATCCTGCAAAGCTTTGACAAGCTCGCCAGATATTCGGCTTATGGCTGATGGCGGGATGACGTCATACGCTCGTTGGAAAAGAATCGAGCCAGGCACGTGGTATTTCAAAATAAGTTGGGACGGGGGGCTGATTAAGGAAAAAGTGAGAACCCACCCCCAACATATGGCCCAGTTGGTTTTTCCCGTGTACGGTCCAGTTTCATTCTAAATTGTGTTGGGGGGCTGAACCCCCACCCCTACAGAGAAGGGAACTGCACATCCGGATCGAGCACTTCAAAGAGGGCAGAGGTACCTCGATTAGACAACAGCATCGAACGGGGTCAAGGTCACGTCACCGTGCGCGGAAGGCGGCAGTGTGTCACCGGGGTTTGAAGCGCGTGACGCTACGCCCTGACCCAGATCCACTCCCACCCGAACCACGCGCAACGATTGCATGCGATAGGCTAGGCACCTTGAGTATGGAGATTGAACATGCCTGCATGCCCGCAATGACCCGTGTTACCCGTCATTGTTGAATTGTGCCCGGTTGTGCGGGAATCGTGGGCTTACGTCCCAACCAGCACCCTCCCTTTCCCTTGGTTGAGAGGTTCGCAACGGATTTGAGGCCTAAATGTTTGCCTGCTAGGCGTACTTAATAATGACATGAAATATCCAGTGAATATAACTTACTCCCCTTCTCTTAGTTGAAACGCAAGTAGTAGTAAAGGCGTGTCACCCTTGTCCGTCTGGGTCCCGCGTCTTGTCTCGGCCGCCCGCCGACGCTTCTCAACCGGCCACCCCCATACCTGGGCGACGAAAGATGACGGTCGGCAGGCGGCGTCTATCACTGCCGTCCTCGGCGACGGCAGGCATCCGCACCACAGTCCTCGGCGCCGGTAGGCATCTGCACCACCGTCCTCGGCTGCGTGCAACCGGTGTGTCATGCCCCAGCCTGCCCTGAAGGAGCCCCGTGTCCGGCAGTGGCTGTTCGTCCGTCTCTCCCGACTCCCTCTTCCACCGCCAGCGGCCGACAGGGCTGGCCCCGCGTGCGCCGGTCTGCGTCCTATCGGTCCGTGCCTGCCCCGGCCCCCGGCCGCCGGTCGGCCGCCGGCGCCGGTGCGTGCGCCGGTGCCGGCCGCCGACCTTGTGGGTCCGGTGAGAGTGGCCGCGGAGGTCAGGTTTGGTAACGGCCGGGGGCGCCGCGGACGCCGCCCGCCCGCCCGCCGCCGCCGGATCGGACGGCTGGCCCGGCGTGTTGACGCCGAGGTGACGAAAGCGATGACGCTGGTACAGTCGAGGTGCTGGTGCTCGTGCTGGTGCGGGCGCGGCGGTCGAGCTGGCGGGTTGAAGAGGAGCACGAGGGACAATTGCAGACACGTTACGAGGTCCAGTGCAAATTGCTCGAGCGTGTGAGGGACGACTGTCGGGTGTTGGATGCCTACAAGGTCACGCGTATATAATGATGAGAACTGTCAACTGAGGTAGGTCAGGCGCTACAGGCGGATTGGATCAGATGGGGCCTTGCTTCATCCTCTGATCCAGCGTTTATAGACATCTTGCATCTTGTGCTCGGCGGCCCACAGCCCTCAGTCCTGTCGTTGCAAGACGCTGTGCCACGGGAATGATGCAAGGACAGGACGGTGACTTAGAAAAGTAATGCGCCATACTAGGATCTAATTCCTACCGCCCTGGCCTCATGCCATAATGAGCTTAAGAAACTGAAGGCCAGCAGCCGTGCCGTTAAAGCGCTGCGTACTCGTCCGCAGTTAGTCCGGCACAGATTATTGTCTGGCAATGCATCAGGGCATCACGCGCCCGAGGTTCCGGCAGGGCCACCATGAAATGCCGACGCGTTTCGACGGCAGAGTGGCCACCATGAGGTGGACAACAGCTGGCCAGCGGTTACGTGGGTGACCGCTGAGGTTCGTGAGTCACGGCATGTGGTGTGTGGTGTGTGGGGGGAGGGGGAAAGGGAGGCTGAGGCTACTAGGCAGACGTGTGCGCTCTTTCACGAGTCATGTCTCGCTCCGACCAGGTTGGATAGCTCAGAACTTCACACAATATCCTCTATCAGAAGGTACGACGCGGCTCAAATGATGGGAAGAACAACGCATGCGGCAGGCCCGAGCACTCGAGCGTGAACAGTGACTGGGCCGGTTTCAGGCGGTTTGCGGTTTCACTCGTATGACCCTAATTTAACACGGGCTTGGGTGGGGGAGTCATATTGACCCCCCCCGAAGGTTTTTCCAGAATGGTTTCCGAACGGCGCGACGTAGCCGCAACAAATTTTGCACAGCTGTAGAAAATTTCATAGTGGATCGTTTGACATCACCAATTTATACGTGCCTTGTAAGGTCGCTGACCTATGGCAGGTCAAAGTCAGGCCATGGCTTCAGCGAAGGCAATTTCTAGGGAATCCTTCAATCTGATCCAACAACGGAGTGT